ATATGTGTAATAACTCGAAAATAAAAAAAATTACAGAAATAGTAAACTATTAAAAAGAAACCTTTCCTAAAAGAACATATGCATAAATATACCAGCACACCATAGACAACACAATTAATTATCTAGAGATTTTAATTTTGCAACTAATGAATTTTAGCGCACACTAATGGTGTAGACGTCGTCACCAGTTTCGTCGGAAAGGGTGACAATATCACTGATATTGTATGAATTAAAGAAATTTCTCCAGCCAGAGCCGCTGATGGTGAACCAGCCTTCACCTTTGCTCCTGCAGTTGAAATTCAAAGGCCCGCCATATCCATTTCTAACCCTCAGCACAGCGGGGAGAGCGCCACCACCGTGGTGAAACCTGAACCTTGATCTATAGTCACTTCTAAGAGTGATGGAGAAGATCTCTGCCATTTTATCTTCTACTAGGTGTAGCCCTTACAAAGATATTTGTAATATGATTGCTGTTATGAAGCTCTTTGTTGTGTACGAAGGGTTTATATAGAGTGAAAAAGCAGCAGCTCTTCTTGCTCGATCAAATAATGAAAGATTATAATATTATGTATCGCGAGCAAAAGGCTTTAGATCTTACAACATTACTCCGAGTCGACTGCTTTCCGGAGCTTTGCATATATTTTCTTAATTGTGTTCGTTAGCTATATATCGCATGCAAACTTGATGTGCAGAGCCCCAGTGTTTGACAATATCGACTTGATTAGTTGGAAACATGTCGGCTACTTTTCTGTTGTTATTTGTTATCGCACGAGGTTGTTTTTCGACGTATAAAATATCAGTGGATAAGATAAAGAGAATTTTGTTTGACAAGAGATTTTTTTTGTGTTAATCAACCTCGTTTCAAATTGAAATCAAGACGATTCTAGTTGTTCATGAGTTATTATTTTTCTTATTAAAGTAACGTGTTTCCATGTTACTAATAAGTTTATAAATAAACTATCGTATTTTAAAATATTACATTCGATTCATTTAATTAGTTGATTGTAAGAATAGATTATTGAGTTTCAAACAGTGTTAAAGGTGTCCTTAGTAAACATTCTCAATTATTTTTGTCGGATATACTATAACATATGCCACTCTATTATTAGTAAATTTACAAATAAGTCATTATATTTTAAAATATTATAATCAAGTCACTCAATTAATTTTAGGGCAAAGTATAGTAATGGTCACTAAACTTTTCTAAAGCTTTCATTTAGGTCCCTCAACTTTTAAAACTTCCAATAAAGTCCCCTAACATTTAGTCCATTTTCAATATGATCCCCCAACATTTAGTCCGTTTGCAATATGGTTCTCGATGTAACATTTAGTCTGTTTTCAATATGGTCCCCCAACATTTAGTCCATTTGTAACATTTAGTCTGTTTGCAGTAAAGTTGAGGGACCTAAATGAAAGCTTTGAAAAAGTTCAGTGACCATTACTATACTTTACCCTTACTTATAAAAGAGAAGACCATAGTAAACCTTAGCCTTTAAATTTTACAAGGGATATGTAATAAAAGTATTGAGCTTATTATGGAAATAATAAAAGTTTTCTACTAAAATTGTACTCAAATAATATTAACTAAAATAGTAAGTGAACAAATTATTTCGATAGACTACCAAACTTATATCATTCAGGATCAAAATAAAAATAATAATAAATAAATAATTATATATACAATACGTGTTGAAGACACGTATTTGCATAAACATAAGTTGATTAGATACATTGCACATGTAGACCTTATATTCAATCACTAAATGAATATATGTTTAGAAGATTATAGTTAAATACTTTTAAAAAAACATATATATAAACAAATGTGAGATTTCAGAAAATCATAATAAAAATTAATTAATTTTGAACTGTTAAAAGAGAATTATTAAATTTGATTAGATTCATATCAGTATAATAAAAAATTATTTTTTTGAAATACTCGGAATCTCATTTTTTTTTAAAAAAATTGTCTTTTTACAAATCTCACACCTGGGAATTGTTAGAATCCAAATATCAGGCAAAGAAGAAAACGAATATTATGGTGGAGATACATGTAAGAATAAAGCTATTAAGAATAGGAATTAAGCCATAAAACTTTAGTTGAATGTTACATCATCATCATTAAAGGATCACAAATACTGAAATAGCAGCAATGGGAATCCAATTTACAATTATTTAAAGAAAACAAAAAACAACTAATTCTGCTCGTAACTTCTTTAAAACAAAAGACAAGGATTATCCTCAACCTGTTCTAACTGTTTTGTTGTAATAATAAATGGTGAAAATTGAAGTTTCCATTGTAAAACTCACCTCAAACTCTTCACCTTCACCACCTTTTCTTCTTTACGTTTCCTTCAACGTTCAATCACCAAAAATTCAAAAAAAAAATACCGATGTTATGTACCAACACCATTTTTCTTGTCTCTACTTCACGAGGGCTCAACAAAACCGATTTCAGTTTTGCTGAGCTACGAGTCTGCATTTGCTCGAGCCAAGCACCTAAAGCAGCATTATCAACCGGATCCACGTTCATGCTAGAACCCTCACCCGAGACTGATGCTGCTATTTTCTCTTTGATCTCAGTTGGAGATTCTTTCACAAGGGATCGAACCCATGATAAATCAGGTTCGCCTCCGTTACCGAGCTCAAAGGAGGATGACCTGCGATGCTTGCCTAACCCATCAGCATTGACAGCCCAGTCAGGCTTACCATTGGAGGATCCCCATTTTGCCTGCGAATTAACTGGGGAACCAACAATGGCAGCCGAGCCAGAGATGAGCTCCCTAGAGCTTAGGCTGCGAAAGTCTTGCAGTTTCTCCCGTTGAGCTAACATTGAAACTCGAGAGCTCATTGGTGAGATAGGTTCGACATTTAGAGGAGACACCCTACCAGATAGAGAAGCCTGCAAAGAGGCTGCTTAACATTTTTAGGAGAAAATTTTGTATTTATTGGTGATAGCATGTTTTGCTGTTGCTGAAATTGATTGAAAGACAAAGACTTATGGTTCGGAGAGAAAAGGGCAGCAGCCATAGGTTAATCAGAGTATCGAGGAGAGAAGCTCTCAGCTGAAAAGATATCATCGAGATTTGATGGGGTCAGGGTCTTCAATCTTCCAGATTGGTTAAAAGAACTTGAACTCGTCGATGGCTGAGTAAGGCCAGATAACTCATTCATAAGCTGATGTTGATGCACATCAAAATCAGACAGCAAGTTGAGGTCTTCCGCTTGAATGTCTCTCGCATTAAGAGAAGATCACAGGCGACTAGATTGAAGGTTGCTTCCCGGAAGATGCAGAGCTGGAACATTAGGTTGTGCCCAGCCAACATTAGAATTAGACATGCCATTCATAGAGGGAGACATGGGTGGAGTGAACGGTGACAGAGACATAACCGATACAGATGAAGGTGATCCGGGCAAGAGACTCAAGGCTGTAGCAAAATCCTTAGCTGTAGCACCGGAAGTACTAGATCGAGGAGATGGAACGGCAGAACCAGTGGAGACATAAAGAGGCCAGAGTTCCTCAGCCGTGTGAGCAAAGAAGCAGACTCTCCTCGCACAACTTGTACCATCCTTGCACAGCCGGGTCCGATACTGAGCAGGGTGTAGCCAGCATTCGAAAACACAATGAGCATATTCACACATTTCTCCAAGCCTACATGCCCCCATGCGAAAATCAGGGCAAGGAACACAACTGTAATGGAACTTCCTAGGATCCCTTCTTTGAGCGTTCTCTCCAGGGTGAACAAACGGGCACTCAGTCCAATCATGGGAGTAGGCACGTGAACAAGGCCGCACCTTGAATGAATACATTCGGAACTCATCAGTTGAATAGATGATATTCTTGATGTCTGGAAGAGATGGATCAATTGGGTATTCTTTCTTATCCGACGCCAAAGAAATAGGAGCATCACTTTTCCTCGACTTCATTGGGGAATCTGAACATTCCTGCAAAGGAGATAGAGGTAGGGAGTCAGAATTCTCAATGGCTAACACCTTTGAATTCCGATCAAAACCAGAACTCTCGGTTGCAAGGAGTTCCTCAAGAGTTAATTTCACATGTCGAAGCTTCGGAGGAACAACAATAACATCAACAGGAAGATGATCGTTCGCATCAACCATATTACATCAGCACCGGCCGCTAAAAGCAGCTTTACAACATCGATACATTAACAGCCCCAACTGAGGCAGCACACTGAAGAGCAGTGCTTTTGTCACTGCCGCACACACGATTAACATCAGCATCCGAAGATGAAAGGATCAGCTTAATAACATCAATGCTACCGTACGTGGATGCAACCATCAATGGAGTTCTCTCCTCGTTAACCATCTGTTTCGAGCCTGTTTGCCGAACATACCATAACCCAACCTCATCAACACAAAAGGATCATGCTCAATCCATCGTTTAAATCCTTCAACATCATTATTAGCAGCAAGCTCAAGCAAGCTTGCAAAGTTATCTTCTGTCACAACAGTCAAGTGATTCATATCTACACTAGGATGTCTGCTATCTTCGAACGAAAGCATTCAGCGTTATTGGAGATGGCTTCAGATTTAACCGCTTCAATCCACAGCACATGCTTTCATTTGATAAAAAACCGAGATTTTATTAAAAAAAAACTAGAATCAACATATGGAGAAAGATTAGTTTCATACATACATACATACATACATACATACATAATATATATATATGGTCAAATATTCCATAAGATATTTTGGAGAACAAAATAAATTGATAAACCCAAATGGGATTTACCCAGTAAAACAGAATATCAAATAGGACAAAGACGATTCTCTTCCATTTTCTTTCTTAACTTTCATTCGAGTTTTCCCCCGTAAAAGATCAAACGCATGAACTTTAGTAAAAACATTTTTTTTCGTTGAAGAAGAACATATTAACATTAAAATTTAAAGGAGATTGCAACAAATCTTTCAATGTTCATCAATATCAAACTAAAATCACTTTAAAATATGAAACAGTAAGAGCAGAAGCATATAAAAGATCGTAATGAGGAGAAATCAAAACAGAAATTTCCAGCTAAAGTAAACTTAAACTAAAACCCAAATAAAAAGCCTTACCAATTCAAAAATCCCTATATCTACCCGGAAATGAAGAACTGAGTCTTTCAGATATTTTTTCAAAATATGAAAAATAATCTCAATTAGAGTTCTGAGAAAATGAACAGCTTCCCATCTCCATTCCATATGTTACATTGTTACTTCTGCTTTTTGCCTTTTTCTTTCATTATTTAAAAAAATTGAAGAATTGTTTCTATTTTTTAGGATAAAATTAAAATGGACTTGTCGAAAGAGAAAATAAAATAAAAAAAAGATAAAATGGGAAACGACGTTGTTGCCCCTGTTGGTTGACCAATCAAATTGTCGCGCCACATTTCTAAAAAGGAAAGCATGTCATTAAAAAGTAAAAGAAAGGTTATTTTAGTCATTGGGATTTTCTTATGTTCGACGTGGCATTATTTTATTGGGTTCTGATGTTTTAACTAGGACAGGTCCCTTTGACAGACGACCTAAGTTTTGTGTAATATTCTTATTCGAAAAAATAAAAAATGGTTGTTCATTGTTATCATGTGTAATGGGGTAAAGGGGAGATAGATAGTCTGTCCCCAACACTAGGTTGAGAGTAGTTTCCGTAGAAGATCTCCGAATTATGAAATGTCCTCCGTAGAATTTAATCTTATAACCTCAAGATTAAGAACCTTGTATTCTACCAACTGAGCTGGATAATCATGTCTCTTATTCGAAAAATAAGTTTTGTGTAATAATTTAACAGTGCCCCTCTCAAATGCTTAGAAATTCGACTTAAATTCATCTTACATGACGGTTAAATTTTCGAAATAAAAGTATTTATCAGCTGCGGATAATACCAAGGAATGGATGGGTTGGCAGCTTTTCATTGGATAATGAAAAACAAGGAATTTCTGCTTTCCTTAAATACCCTTATTTGTGAGGGTTTTAGGGGATAATACAAACGGGGATAAAATTTAAGGAAAAAAACATGTGGAAAAAAAATTAATAACTTATCGTTATTCATTCGGTTTTCATTCTATTTTAATATAAAAAAATATGTTCTGTTTTTACTTCTTACTTTAGCATATTTTACGTATATTTATTTATTTAGTATGTTTTAACTCTTCTGTTGTAATATGTTTGATATGTTTTTCTTTTGCCTTATGACATGTTGTTCATTTACTTTTGTGGTAAATATGATATTGTGTAGAGATTATTACATTCTTCGTATCTCATTTATAATTGTTGGTAATATTTTAATAGTTCGATTTTCTTTTATGATTGTTTGTTAATATATTTATATCTATTTTACGATATAAGTTTGTTTTAGTTCGTTCATCACTCTTTCATCGCCTCAAAAACATCTAATTATATAGGGACAAATGAATATTATTGACGATTATTGGATACTATTGACGGCTACTGAATGATATGGTCATATTTAAAATAAGGTTTCGATTGTAATTGCATATTTGGTTATTTGTTTTAGGTTTTTGGTAGACTTAGTTCCTAAAATTCTCTCTTTGATTGATGGAATAGTTAAGTTGCATCTTCTTTTATTTCAATAAAATCTAGTATCATTTCACGTTTTAAAAAAATAAAACAGATGTCGTATATTTGCAAATAGCGCAACTCAACTCAACGAATTTGAATTTGTTTTATGTCATTGGATGCTTTAAACACGACAAAATCACCCAGATAGATGAGTGAAAAAAAAATTCACAAGAAGATCATTAAATTTTATTTTTTAAAATAATATTGAATTTATAGTCAAATAGAGAAAATGACACAAAAACGTTTGAAAAATCTGACGTCTTTTTTAAATAGACACCTGATAAGACTTGTATTCCTTGTGTCTTTTAGTGATCAAGTATTTTTCTCTAAGATTCACCTCATTTAAACAAAATAAAATCTACATCATCCCTTAAAAATAATATTTAATACACTATCCAAATATATATATATTTTTAAAAAAACTATTCAAATAGATTTGACCTTTAAACACATATGAGTTATCGCATTAATAAAGAAAAAAATTAAAACCCTAACGGTCATATCATTGCATTCCCCTAACATTAATTAAAAAAATTGTCATCCCGATTCTAATGTTCCTTCTTGATTAATTTAGATTACGTATCTAATTTTGGTGAGTGAGTCTCACATTAAAGATTTTATGCATACACAATAACTCGAATTCGATATTTTACTTAGATGATATCAAACTATTTACCACTTGTATCAGTTCTTGTTAGTACCATTAATTAAATATTTTAATTCAAATATTATTTTTCCAAAAACTATATTCTAATTCACTTAACTATAATATAACTATATAATATATTACTGTTTTTTATCCCAATCAAGTATTTTCACATATTTTATTCTCATTTGTATTATTAGGCTAACTGTTTCTGAACCCATACGATTCCGACACCTCATTGGTGGCAATTTTAGGGGAAAAGTTGGGAAAATGCCTTTTACTGGAACCGGTCGAGGGAGTGGAAAGGTGGGAGAGATGACTGGTTAGGTGAATAAAAGGAGGGCATGTAACCGGAGGTTCCGGTGAGCGAGAACTGGGATTTAAAAGAGGAATGAAGTTCACTTTAATTCTACAAAGGGCGGACTCCAAAGACCTAATCAAATCTGGTCAATTGTGGATTCAAAGCACAAATGAAATGAAAATCAAAACAAAAAAGGCGTGAAGCACCAGCACGGGGAAGAATTTTCAATGCATACTCTATTTAGTATTTTTCTCATATCAATGTATATGTTTACAATTTTTATAAAAATATAATTTAAAATTAATTAATAAATAAATTAAAAATTAAAAAATGATATATATATATATATATATATATTAAGAAAGTAAAAGTCATCTTAAGAGTAGAGATTAATATAAGTGAATTCAAGTAAAATTTAAGATATATATTACATTTAAAGTCTTACTTGAATAATTATGTATAATATTGATATTGTACATAACATTGATTTCAAAATAGTCTGTGATTGCATTTATTATTTCTTAATAAAATAGTTTATTTTTATTATTACTTTAAAATTTTAGACATTACTTGAAAATTTTGTTTTTATTAGTCACTTATTTAGTAGCAACTAAGAAAGGTTGATATGTCACGGCAAAGTTTTTTTCCCCGAATAAAAGCATAAGGTTTTAAATTTGTAATTGCAATAAAATATCATTTTTTATGAAGGGAACAGTTGTTAATCAATTCCAACGATCGTAAAGATATATTTGACTAAAAGATTAATATAGTTTAATTTCAGGTTGATATGATGATTAATAATGGTCAAAATATTATCTGATTAGTTTGAATTAAAGTAAAGATAGAGAATAAGATAAGAAATTTAGTGATCTTTTTATCCAAAAAAATTACTAAATAGTGGCGAAATGAGGCGATGATCTAAAAGAAACTATAAGTTAAAATTATTCGATATGAGATTATTAAACATCGAATCAACTTGAAATCAAAATACATGTTAATCTTCTAGCTAAATAAAGTCTTTCCTCTGTTAGGATTGACCAACAACCAATTAGTTCATCGAAAATTTATACTTTTACGACAACTATCAATTCAGAAAAGTATGACTTTTTTAGGAAGTAGACTTTAACGTGTCACATTAGTATTTCTTAACGATGGCTAATGACGGTGACCGTAATGGAAGCTGATCAAAATTTAGTGATTGTAATACAAGCTTTAAAAATTCATTGACCAAAGTGAAAGTATCCTAAAAAATCAGTGACTATAAGTTTAGTTTAGCCTTATAAAATTTTAAAATAATTTATGCTCACATACATGCACAGTTCTTTTTGTTTTGGATATTTGCTCAATAAAATACTTTATTATTGCATACGTGGACAACTATAAACCTCATTAGTAAATAGTTTAACTTACCCAAGAAAATAATTACTTATTATACACATCAGATAATTAATTAAAGAAAATATTTTGCAGCCGCCACATTGCACGAAAGAGACAAAGGAATCCCCGATTTGAATAAAACTAAAATTATTATAAATATATAATGTCAAAATTAACTCCTAACTAATTTCAGTGCCTCGCTGGAGTGGTTACGATTCTACTTTAGAGATGAATTTCAATTATAGTTCATCGTTATCTTTATGTTAGATTATGGCGACAGTTATAGTTGCACGCTATAATTGGTATTGCGCTATAGTTGCGCTACATATTATTTTAGCTGATTTTTCAAAAATTAAACCCGAAGACGCATTGGAGTCCAAACGACTTACATATAAATTTGAGGGAGACGCATTGGAGTCTAAGCGACTTACATATCAGGTAACATTATGATAAAACCGGTAAAATTTACCTGATATGTTGAAAGTATAGATATTTTTTATAAAAAAATATATCGATACTTTGTTGAAAGTTATGTAATTTATGTTTCAAAATTTTTTAATAGTGCTTCGTGTTTTCCACCTACAATATTAATTTAATAATTTCATTTACACAAAAAAATTATTTGATTGTTTTGATATTTTATAAAATATTATCTAGAATTTAAATTTAACAATTTTAACCAAAAATAATAATAAATATGTAATATCTATGTTTATTATTTTTAATTTAATTATAATATATACCGTAACATAAAAATAAACCATTAGACTTGTATAATTACTAAATCAATATCTTAAAACTCACTAAAAAATAACTTTAAATTAATTTTTTCCACATTGAAATAAATATGGACACTTATATATATATATCGATACTTACCGATAACTAAAGTTTATCGGTTACCAAATTTTTTAATAATTTTTCATATTTCTTACCTAAAATATTATTAATCTATCAACATAATAAATAACGCTAAATCAAATTTATTAAATATCTTTTAATATTTATGATAATATTATATATTAATCGCCTTTCCTAGCCTCACCTTGCAGCTTAAGAAATACCAAAAAATAATATATATATATATATATAAATCTAATTGAGATTCTTTTTTTCATTTTCTAAGATACATCTCAAAGAGAACCCAGGTCTTATTTTTCAGAGTAGATCTGTATAATCAATCCCCACCTTCATCGATTTGTTGAACTGGTAAGTTAGTTTGGGTTTTTAGTTTAATGTGATCTCATGCAATCGAATCTTTCTTTTGATTTCTCCAGAACCAGATCTTTTATCTACTTTTACTGTCAGTGATTTTTTTAATATTTCTTTCCAAGTTATTTTAGTTTGATTGTGCTGACTATTGAAAGACCCTTTATAAATTTTACTGATAATATATAATGAGAGTTTATTTTTATTTTGAATTTATTTCTGCTGATATTTATGCTTTTGATCTTTTTCACTATCTGGTTTGGCTGACATGTTGTTGATAAACATTGACTTGGGCGTTGCTGTTGTTTTCTTAGAATCCCGAGTGGGTTTATCTATTTATTTTGAGTTTTCGTTTTCGAATAATATCTTATGGAATATTTGATCATTTATATGAAACTAACCTTTCTCCGTGTATTGATTCTAATGGGTGCTTTTCTTTTAATCTCAGTTTGATATGATTCTTATCAAATGAAAGCATGTGCTGTGAATAGGAGCGGTTAAACCCGAAGCTGACTCCGATACCATCGAATACTTCTTTTGAAGATAGCAGACATCCTAGTGTAGATATGAATCACCTAACTGTAGTGACTGAAGATACTTTTGCAAGTCTGCTAGAGCTTGCTGCTAATAATGATGTTGAGGGCTTTAAACGATCGATTGAACATGATCCTTCCGGTGTTGACGAGGTTGGATTGTGGTATGGTCGTTGGAAAGGCTCGAAACAGATGGTTAATGAGGAGAGAACCCCGTTGATGGTTGCTTCTATGTATGGTAGCATCGATGTTATAAAGCTGATACTTTCCTCTTCGGATGCTGATGTTAACCGTGTGTGCGGCCATGACAAAAGGACTGCCCTTCATTGTGCTGCATCCGGTGGGTCTGTTAACGTTATCGACGTTGTGAAGCTTCTTTTAGCTTCCGGTGCTGATGTAAATATGGTGGACGCCAATGGTCATTTTCCTGTTGATGTTATTGTTGTTCCTCCCAAGCTTCGAGATGTGAAATTAACTCTTGAAGAACTCCTTGCAACCGAGAGTTCCAGTATTGATCTGAATTCAAGGGTGTCACCTGTTTCAAATTCCGACTTCCCTCCTCTATTGCCTTTGCAGGAAAATGGCTCTTTGTCATCTGGTTTGGATTCCCCGATGACGTCAGAGAAAAAAGGATACCCGATTGATCCATCTCTTCTCGATATCAAGAATAGCATCTATTCAACTGATGAGTTTCGGATGTATTCGTTCAAAGTGCGGCCTTGTTCACGTGCCTACTCCCATGATTGGACTGAGTGCCCATTTGTTCACCCCGGGGAGAATGCTCGAAGAAGGGATCCTAGGAAGTTCCATTACAGTTGTGTTCCTTGCCCTGATTTTCGCAAGGGGGCGTGTAGGCGCGGAGATATATGTGAATATGCCCATGGTGTTTTCGAATGCTGGCTACACCCTGCTCAGTATCGGAGCCGGTTGTGCAAGGATGGTACTAGTTGTGATAGGAGAGTCTGCTTCTTTGCCCATACTCCTGAGGAACTCCGACCTCTGTATGTCTCCACTGGTTCTGCTGTTCTATCTCCTCGATCAAGTATTTCTAGTGCCACAGCTATAGATTTAGCTGCTTCCATGAGTCTCTTGCCAGGATCACCTTCATCAGTATCGGCTATGTCTCCGTCACCATTCACACCACCCATGACTCCCTCCGTGAATGGCATATCTCATTCTAACGTTGGCTGGGCACAACCAAATGTTCCAGCCTTGCATCTTCCGGGAAGCAACCTTCAATCCAGTCGGCTGCGATCTTCTCTTCATGCGAGAGACATTCAAGATGAAATCTTCAACTTGCTCTCCGATTTTGATGTGCAGCAACATCAGCTGATGAATGAGTTATCTGGCCTTACTCAGCCATCGTTGAGTTCAAGTTCTTTTAACCGATCTGGTCGGATGAAGCCCCCGACCCCATCAAACCTTGATGATCTATTTTCTGCTGAGAGTTCCTCTCCGCGGTACTCTGATCAAGCATTGGCTGCTGCTGTTTTCTCCCCAACCCACAAGTCTGCTGTTCTTAATCAATTTCAGCAGCAGCAAAACATGCCATCACCAATAAATACAAACTTTTCTCCCAAAAGTATAGAGCGTCCTCTCTTGCAGGCTTCTCCATCCGGTAGAATGTTTCCTCGAAACGTTGAACCTATCTCACCGATGAGCTCTAGGGTTTCAATGTTAGCTCAACAGGAGAAGCTGCAAGAATTTCGCAGCCTAAGCTCTAGGGACCTCCTCTCTGGCTCGGCTGCTATTTTGGTTCCCCGGTTAATTCACTGTCAAAATGGGGATCCTCCAATGGGAAGCCGGACTGGGCTGTCAATGCTGATGGGTTAAGCAAGCATCGTAGGTCGTCCTCGTTTGAGCTCGGTAACGGAGACGAGCCTGATTTATCATGGGTTCAATCCCTTGTCAAAGAATCTCCAACTGAAATCAAAGAGAAATAGCAGCATCGGTCTCGGGTGAGGGTTCTAGCATGAACTTGGATCCGGTTGATAATGCTGCATTGGGCGCATGGCTCGAGCAAATGCAGCTCGATCAACTTGTGGCTCAGCAGAACTGAAACCGAATTCGCTGAGCCCACCTGAGGTATAGACAACAAAAAATGGGTTTTGGTAAATAACATTCCAATTCTTTTTTGTTCGGACAGGTAAAGAGGAAGAGAAGGTGAAGGGAGAGATTGAGGTGAGTTTTACATTGGAAACTTCAGTTCTCACCATTTATTATTATTATTACAACAAAACAGTTGGAACAAGTTGAGGATAATCCCGGTCTTATGCTTTAAAGAAACTATGGCCAGGTTTAGTTGTTTTTTGTTTTTTGTTTTCTTCAAAATGTAAGGATCCTATGATGATGATGATGATGAATATGTAACATTCAACTAAAGTTTTATTGCTTAATTCCTATTTCAAATATCTTCATTGTTCTTTGAAAAAGTTCAAAAGCTTTTTTTTTTCAAGTTTTAGATCAAACTCGCATACATTATGCTTATGCTATTCAAACCCGAGTCATTAAGGAAGAACAAATTCGTTTAACCATTGGAACGACGTAAGTTAAAAAAGAGCTAAAATGAAAATTAACCGCAGGTGATCGGAGCCATCACTAGCAGTGGAAAGAGGTTGAGAGAGTTAATGGGTTAAATTAATAGTCTAAAGTTTGAGGGTCAAATTAGGAAAAAAATTACTGTTTTTAATGAGATATATTATCAAACTAACAAGAGTTGATGGTTCAAAGTGTAATGAATCGACAATGTAAAATGTAATGAATGGATAATGAAACGATCAAACTTATTAAATTTAAATCGGTGACCAATAAAAATAAAAGGGACTAATAATACTATTTACCCTTTAGATATTTATCATTTTATACATTGTTTTTATTATTATTAAACCTTCAATTTTTTATTAATTGCTTTACAACTTGAATGCATTCGATTTCAACCTGTTTCGATTAATTCATGAAATTCTCTTAATTTAAGAAACAAATAAAAGTTTTATTCGAGGTTATTACATGTATATATGTCGGTCGCATATTTATCGGATGTTTTAGATTGTATTTGGTGATATATTTAATGCTAATATAAAATTATTTGTTTGACATGCAACGATAATTAAGAGTTTACAAAATTCAATTAAAAAAATGCTTTTTCTCTCAAAATTTTAGTTATTTAAGTTAAATTATTTAATCAATTCGAATTTTAAGTTTGAGTAAATTAGAACTTTTAATGTTTGAATAACTAAAAAATATAAAATTAAAACAATGTTTTGATTGTTTACGAGTTGAAGGGTTTCCCCATAATAAATTTGAATTAATCGTCAATTACTGATGACTGAACCAAAAATATCCATAATTTGCAAGTGGGAAAAAAGTATAGAAAATATCATTATTCCTCGTTCCCTGCAAAAGAGAGTACTAAAAATGGAAAAAATACACCTCTATCATATTAAAGAATAATAATATGCAACAATGAAGCTATTGGGAATAAGAATTAAGCAAGAAACCTTAGTAGAATGTGGCATCATCAAAGGATCATAAATACCGAAATAGCAGCAATAATCTAATTAAGTAATATTTGAAAAAGAAAAAGAAAACACCTAAACCTGCTAATAATTTCTTTAAGACATAAGAGATGATTATCCCTCAACCTGTTCTAACTGTTTTGTTGTAATAATAAATGGGGAAAATTGAAGTTTCCACTGTAAAACTGACCTCGATCTCTTTGCCTTCCCATTCTCATCTTCTTTTACCTTTCCTTCAACATTCAATAACCACCAAAACCCGAATATCCGAAAAAAATACGAATGTTATTTACCAAAACCCATTTTTTGTTGTCTCTACCTCATATGAGGGCTCGACGAAACCGGTTTCAGTTTTGCTGCGCCACAAGTTGATCGAGTTGCATTTGCTCAAGCCAAGCACCCAATGCAGCATTATCGACCGGATCCGAGTTCATGCTACAACCCTCACCCGAGAACGGTGCTTCCATTTTCTCTTTGATTTCAGTGGGAGATTCTTTTACGAGGGATTGAACCCATGATAAGTCGGGCCCATCTCCGTTACCGAGCTCAAACGAGGAGGACCTGCGATGCTTGCCAAACCCTTCAGCATTGACAGCCCAATCCGGCTTCCCGTTGGAGGGTCCCCATTTCGACCATGAATTAACTGGGGGGAACCAACAATGGCAGCGGAGCCAGAGCCAAGCTCCCTAGAGCTTAGGCTGCGAAATTGTTGCTGTTTCTCCCGTTGAGCTAACATTGAAACCCGAGAGCTCATCGGGGAGATAGTTTCAACATTTCGAGGAGACATCCTACCAGTTAGGGAAGCCTGCAAGTGAGGATGCTCAATATTCTTAGGAGAAAAATTCGTACTTATAGGTGACAGCATGTTTTGCTGTTGCTGAAATTGATTAAGGACAGTAGACTTGTGAGTCGGAGAGAAAACGCCAGCAGCCATCGATTGATCTGAGTACTGTGGAGACGAGCTCTCAGAAGAAAAGAGATCATCGAGGTTTGATGGGGTCAGGGTCTTCATTCGACCAGATCGGTTAAAAGAATTAGAACTCATTAGCTGATGGTGCTGCACATCAAAATCAGGCAGCAACAAGTTGAAGTCTTCGGCTTGAATGTCTCTTGCATTAAGAGAAGATCGCAGCCGACTAGATTGAAGGTTGCTTCCAGGAAGATACAGGGCCGGAACATTAGGTTGTGGCCAGCCAACATTAGAATGAGACATGCCGTTCATGGAGGGAGACATGGGTGGAGTGAACGGTGATGGAGACAGTACTGATACAGATGAAGGTGATCCAGGCAGGAGGCTCATGGCAGCAGCAAAATCAATTGCTGTAGCACAGGAAGAACTTGATCGAGGAGAAGGAACACCAGAACCAGTGGAGACGTACAGAGGTCGGAGTTCCTCGGGCGTATGAGCAAAGAAGCAGACTCTCCTAGCACAACTAGTACCATCCTTGCACAACCGAGTCCGATACTGAGCAGGATGCAGCCAGCATTCGAAAACACCATGAGCATATTCGCACATATCTCCTCGCCGACAAGCCCCCTTGCGAAAATCAGGGCAAGGAACACAACTGTAATGGAACTTCCGAGGATCCCTTCTTCGAGCGTTCTCCCCAGGGTGAACAAACGGGCACTCGGTCCAATCATGGGAGTAGGCACGCGAACAGGGCCGCACCTTGAAGGAATACATCCGAAATTCATCCGCTGAATAGATGCTGTTCTTGATGTCTGGAAGAGATGGATCAATCGGATATTCTTTCTTCTCTGTTGCCGAAGAAGTAGAAGCATCAATTGGCCTCAACTTGGTCGGGGAATCTGAACCAGATGACAATGACCCATTTTCCTGCAAACGCAATAGAGGAGGGGAGTCGGAATTTGCTATGGCCGACACCCTTGAATTCGAATTGAAACTGGAATTCTCAGTCAGAAGGAGTTCTTCAAGAGTAAATTTCACATCTTGAAGCTTTGGAGGAACAACAATAACATCAACAGGAAAATTACCATTGGCATCAACCATATTTACATCGGCCCCGGCAGCTAAAAGCAGCTTCACAACTTCGATAACATTAGCAGCCCCACCAGATGCAGCGCAATGAAGGGCAGTGCTTTTGTCACTGCCATACACACGGTTAACATCGGCGTCCGATGACGAAAGGATCAGCCTAATAACTTCGATGCTACCGAACATAGAAGCAACCATCAAAGGAGTTCTCTCCTCATTAACCATCTGCTTCGAGCCCTTCCGACGACCATACCACAATCCAACCTCATCAACACCGGAAGGATCATGCTCGATGGATCGTTTAAAGCCCTCAACATCATTATTAGCAGCAAGCTCAAGCAAACTTGCAAAAGTATCTTCAGTCACTACAGTTAAGTGATTCATATCTGCACTATGATGTCTGCTATCATCAACAGAAGTATTCAATGTTATCGGAGGCTTCGCGTTTAACCGCTCCCATCCACAGCACATGCTTTCATTTGTTAAGAATCCAACTGATATTAAAAAAAAGAAAAGCATCCATTAGAATCAACATCCGGAGACAAGGTTAATTCCATATATATGATCATATTCCATAAGATATATTCGAGAAAAAACAAAAAAAATTAGAACATAATAAATCCACTTGGCATTCTCTAAGATATTAGCAAGAACATATGAACCAAAACAACTTGTGAAAAATTATAGATTTAGAACAAAAGTAAAATTAACAGTAAGGCATAAACATCAGTCAAAATTAAAATTTAAAAAGGTTCTTGCAACAGATGTTTCAATAGTCGTAACAAGCAAACTAAAATAGCTTTAAAAATAAAATATAAAATATCACTGACAGTAGAAGAAGTACATAAGAGATCTGATTCTGTAGAAATCAAATTTAAAAAACAGCTAAAAGGGAAAGTTAAAGCAGAAATAAGATTCATTGCATGTGATCAAACCACTCATTACACACCATAGATATATCAAAAACAAAGTTTCATTCTAAGTAAAAGAGAGCCTTACCTGTTCAAAAATCCATCTTAGTTCCAAGAACTACACAGATCTACTCTGAAAAAGAAGAACCGCTTCTTCTTCGATATATATCTTCAGAAATTAATTAAATATTAAAAAAATAGTCTTAATTAGATTTATATATTTTGGGGTGTTTTTTAATTAAAGCTAGAAGGTGAGAGAGTTCTGCAAACATAAAGAGCTTCCCATATAAGAAAAAATATATATAACTAATAGAAAAAATAAAATACAAAATGAAATGTCGATATACCCTCTGTCTGTTGACCAATTAAATTGTAACGTCCTACTTTTTTCTCCGTCACTAAAAATTAAAGGTAAGGATATTTTCGTCAACAAACAAAACACGGGATTTCTTGCTCCCACGTGGCATAAATTCATTTGTTCTTGATATTTTTAACTAGGACAAGGCCTTTGACAGACAACCTAAGTTTGTGTAATAAATTTAATTAGGTCAAATTGCTTTGAAATTCAACCTAAATTCACCTTTTACATTATATTTACATGACTGTTAAATTTACCAAAGAAGTATCCATCAACAGCAAACTTTCTTACGGAGAATACGAAGGAAAGGCTGACCTGGCAGGCTTTCATTGGATTTTGAGACGTGAGGAAAATTGTTTTCCTTAAATACCCTTGATATTTTGCTAACTTATTCATGATTCATTGGTGTCCATGGCCAGGCTTATTGGATTGAGTCCCGATTTTAAAAATATTTTCAAATCCAGATGGACCAGGTCCGATTCATTTTTTTTTATTTATATTTAATTGGTAACGAATTATAAAAATATATTTTTATGCGAATATATATATATATATGAATATAATTAAATTTTTAAAAATATATATTTAAATTATATTTTGAGTTGTACCTATAAGTTTTAAACTTTTATTCATATTTAGAAAAATGTATGAAATATTTATTTTTAAAATTCTTACTATATATATATATATGTCGGATTTTGCTTCAAGCAATATAAGTGATTAAGAGATGATTGTTATCTTTTGAAGCCTCAAATTCGAGTTGACATTTACGAGGGTGTTTGGGTATTTATTGTCATATGGTTAAGAGTCTTTTGAAGAAATAATACCTTATAATTACTCTAAACTAAAAATAAAAAGAAATTAAAATATAATTTAAATGTGAGTTTACAAATATTTAAAATAAATTTTTACATAATATCTAAATATAAATAATAATTTCATACACATATAAAGTCATATCCATGATTTCTTTATTGCCGATGATAAATCTAAATTTTATCTTTATCTTTGTCGTATCATTTCAAAAATTTATATTCATCTTTATTTAATTGAGTATAAAATGATGGATCTCCATAAAACTCGCTTCACGTACATCTCTATTAAGCGAAAAACTACTAATAATACTATATTACATGATTATTTTTATAATTTACTTTTATAAATCATTGTATGTCGCTATGTTTATTGTTTTAAGCTTCACCAAGTACAAAAAACAATAACATATTTTAAACTATATATTTTCTAAAATATCAATAGTTAACTTTCATACGAGGCTTAACAAACCTTGAAAATTATATTTAATAAGTATATGAGTAAAATGGATTAAATATTTAATAAAAATAATAATCTGTATATTTGTATAATGATAGCCACAAACTCTAAAATAATTTATTTAAAATCTCCTTAGATTTGTGATTTGTCCTTAAAAGTATATTCTACAAGTTTTGGAAAATGGAATTACCCATCTACCCTCAAAGGCCTATAGTGTGTGTGTACTTTATTTAGGTTTTTTAGGTTTATGCTAGAAGAATTTCCATTAGAAGAATTTCCATTATTGTGTTTAAAGGAAATATTTCAATTGTTCAAATATTAGCAGTCTAAAATTAGAGGAAAAAAGAAGGCTAAAAACTGTGTAAATTCTCCAATCCAATTTTTTGTATTAAGCTAAAGTGTTTATAAAATAGTTTATGTTCTAAATATTATTAACCATTTGACAATGAACGCTCAATCACTCTTGCAGTCTCTGGTGATCAAACAATTATCTTTAAGAACAAAAACAATTACCTTTACCACTGAGATCTGAGATAAGTTGGGTTGTGCATCTCCAATCCACTTTTAATAATAAACTAAATAATTAATTAAAATTCTTAACTAATGCTACTAGTATAAAATAATCACTATAATATTTTTATTTCAATAAATAATAATTTAAATGTAAAAAATATTAAAAAAACGAGTTAATGGAATTCAATAAAGACTTCCAAAACAAGGTAACCTAATTTTAACTAATTAAGGCACTAAACAATTGTTTTAGTTAATAATTAAAAAAACAAAATTGGGAGCAAGTCACTGTCCATCATCATATTTCATTTTCAAAGCTCCTATGAAATGGACGTGGAAGGAGCATTGGTTCTAATTTTGACAAGTAGAAAGCAACTTTGCATGTATTATATGCAATAAAGATAAGAACAGATGGTCCCCAATTTTGGAGATTTGGGCATGTAAGGACGAGATTGCACCCTTTTTCAACTTTTATTTCACCTTTTGTTTTTTTGGACCGACTCTTAAGGTTTTGTTAAATCAATTACAAAGGGAAGTCCAGTTTGACAACGAGGTTTTTGTTTTCATTTTATTTTGGAATCGGGTTTGTGAAATTGTGTATGTGAACTGTATTTCCCTTTTTTTTTTATATTATATAAATATGAATACGTTACGAACTATCAAGTGAGTTCAGAGATAAAAAGAAATGATGTTCTTTCTAAAAAAATTAAGTTCGAATAATTGTATCTACAGGATTTGTATGTGTTGTCAATAACTAAAAAATATTTTGAACAAATAATATTTTATAATCACACAAGGCTATTCAAAATAATATCAATATGTTAAGATTATTTAGGGGATGAGATTATTATACGAACCTTTATATTCTAGTAGAGTAAAAAAATGTAAGTAAACTATGTTTATATATCATTGAACTAAAAATTGAGATTATTTTTGTTATAAACTTTTAATTTGGTTCAATGTAAGAATCAAATCGTTAAAACTCAAACAATGCACTGATGTGGATAAATTCTTTTCGTTACTGGATATGAGTTTATTTACCCGCACAAATCATCAAAATATAAAAACGAGAGAAGAAGGTTTGATAGTTATGTCGTATTCAAATCAACAGTGCAGAAGCCTTCGCATCATTAGTCCACCTACTTTGAATCAAAGTCCTGGGTAAATATGTGTAGTCCAATTGCTTCAAAATGTGAAGTTGATGGCGTCACGGAAGTCCAACGGTCTCGAATTTTTTGCAGGAGCAAATTAGAGTTTTCGTACGAGAATCAAAACTAATTTCAAATTTCCTATTTTTTTCTGCGTACTTTGACAAAATATAATGTTGACATTCATCTGATAAGGACTTAATCTCTGCCTCAATCCGGTACAATGTCTCCCGTATAAGTTCATCTTGGAACACACGAAAAGATTCGCGGGTAAAAATCGCAGCGGCATGGCTTTCAAGGTCGACCAGTTTTGTGATCTGGAAGGGCTTCGTATGGGAACTTAAGTAATCCGCTTTTCGTTCATACGCATTCTACTAATTCCATCTTCAATTGCACGAACAACATCTAAATATGTCTTCTTGTGTTTCAGTGCAATAGCTAGTGAAGCATTCATAGACTCGCACCTTTGTGTTGAGCGAATATTGGCAAAGAAATGACCGGTTAGATATGCTTGTGCCCATAAGTGTCGTGTATTTCCCTTCTCAATCACCCATGGATATTTTTGGACGTTGAATTCTGAAACAACCGAACGCCATTGAATATCAAATTCCTTGGTTGTCCACCAGGAGGCCATGCATTTTGAGAATGCTGCTGTAAACTTTGGGTCACCAATGTTAGCTTGTGCATTGCGAGAAAGATGCCAAGAACATAATATGTGCTTAGCATAAGGGATAACAGATTTGATAGCCCTCTGCATTGCCCTATCCCCATCGGTTACAACGGAAATAGGTGATTTATTCATCATGGCTTCTAAAAAATTCTGTAGCACCCACTCGAAAGATTGAGACGTCTCGTCAGCGATTATGGCAGTGGCAAACACAATTGTGTTATGGTGATGATTGACACCAACAATAGGCATAATTGGTCGACCATACAAATTATGTTTGTACGTTGTGTAGAACGCAATTACATCACCGAAGCATGTATAATCCGATCTCGATGTAGAATCCGACCAAATAAGATTATACAATGCCCCCGATTCGTCTACCGAGTATGTCATAAAAAACTCGGGATCATCATGTTTCTTATAATCAAAGTAGGCAATAAGCGCATTCACATCCCCATCGACGATTTCCTTTGCTTTACCTCTTTGAAGTGCATTGTAGAGGTCTTTATGTGTAAATCCAACATTATGATAGCCCCCTGCCTGCTGCGTTGAATAGTTCATTACTTGTGACGTGCCAACACCGACCTCTTTCAATGTTGTTGCCTCATCGATATCAGCCTTACTTACAGCTCTATTAGAACACATAAATGGTGTCATAGCATGTGTGCACAATGCATGATTATGTTTCTGATCAGACTTACTTATAACCCACTGATCGTTTGTATTTGTTGTTGTAACTACGACTCTAGCCTTACATTATGTTCTTGTGACTGGCGTATGAGCACGTTGACGATCAACAATATTGACTTTTGATACTCGAAACCCTTCTTTGGAACAACAAAATTCTTGTGTATTCACATTCCCTTCCACGTCAAGCCGTGTTGTTCCCTTACGTGCACTAAACCCATGTTCTCGTGCGAATCCCTTGTAAAAGTGCCAAGCTTGATCACGTGAACAAAAGAGCTGACCAACCAATCTGTCAGATTCATCAACATTATGTACTTCATGGCATTCCTCGGTTGGCTTAACATTGTCTACATCAATATTATCCATGGCAAAAATTTTGTTGTGCAAGTTCAGTGCTCCAGGAGTTGATGGAGATGTAAGCAAAGGTTCATTTTGAACATGTTTCAGTCGTGCTGCTTTCAATAGGATGTGGCATTGGTAGTGGTAGTTAAAGGGTGGGTACAATATTAAATTCGCAGTACATATTTAGGTATGTACAATAACTACAGGTATATATTATCATTAAATTTAGGTATGTACAATAACTACATATTTAGGTATGTTTGTTAACTACATATTTAGGTATATACATCTTTTGAGTGAGTTTTAAGATATTAATTTAGTAATTATAGGCGTCTAATGATTTATTTTTTACGTTACGGTATATATTATTATTAAATTAAAAACAATAAACATATATTACATATTTATTATTATCTTTGGTTAATGTTGTTAAATTTAAATTCTAAATATTATTTTATAAAATATCAAAACAATCAAATAATTTTTTGTGTAAATGAAATTATTAAATTAATATTGTAGGTGGAAAACATGAAACACTGTTAAAAAATTGAAACATAAATTACATAACTTTAAAAAAAGTATCAATCTTTTTTATAAAAGTATGGACACTTTCAATATAATAGGTAAAAATATGATGTAATAGGTAGCGCTTATATATGTAATAGGTATCGTTTATATAATGTAATAGGTAGTGATTATATTGTAAAGTATCTATCCTTTTTATAAAAGTGTCCATACTTTTTTCACTGTGGAAAACATTAATTTAAGGTTATCTTTTGAGTGAGTTTTAAGATATTAATTTAGTAATTATAGGCGTCTAATGATTTATTTTTTACGTTACGATATATATTATTAAATTAAAATTCTAAATATTATTTTATAAAATATCAAAACAATCAAATAATTTTTTGTGCAAATGAAATTATTAAATCAAATAATTCAAATTGAAAATTAAATAACAAATCAATTAAACATTGTTGTGGGTACATTATTTGAACATTGTTATGGGTACATTATTTGGAAAAATAATGTTCCGGACTTTGTTAGAAATAACTCTTTTTCATTGGATTAATTTCGTTTTTGTGGGTACATTATTTGAACATTGTTATATATAAATTTGTTGTGTATGTATGTTTTGGTTTGATTATATTGTATGTATATTTTCATTCAGTTGAGATGGGTTATGTATAACAAAACAATCTATCTCTTCCATGTGAGTACTTTATTCCAACCATGTGACAAGTGTGACAACTCTATCAACTCATAACTCAGCTTTGAACTCAATCAATATTGTCTTTTAGCTTGATGGTTCATAAAGCATGTTACTTGAACAGTATGAATCAATTATGCAATTTTCATGTTCAATTTAACACTGCATTTCAAATTCATTTCATATGTAATTGGAGTTTGAATTTAAATTTCAATTTGAGTTTGAATTTCAATATATATTTCGGCTCCACTATAAATATTAGCCCAAGCCAATATGCATGTTATCATTGATTATTCCTAATCTTCATTGTTTTTTTCCAACATTTAAACGCGAGGGAAATCCCGACTATTGTATTTTTTGGTCAACTTTAAAGCGTCAGAAACGTTTCGGGCGTATGACCCGGGTGGTATACAAGAAATGTAACAAATAGCAACTAAAATCATAAGTCCGAAATGCTTCTGAGTACCACCCAAATCATAAGTCCGAAATACTTCCGATGCTCATCAAAATCCAAAGCTCATATGGTGCCAAACAAAAGGAAATCAAAATCCAAATCTCATATGATGCCAAGCAAAAGGAAATCAAAATCTACAACTTGAGTTTGAACATTGGTATGATATGTTCAGTTGTTATCATGTTGGGATTTTCTCGTTTTTGATTGCTTGGATAGTTGTTCTCTTGCTTCTTCAAGTGTCCTTAGCTTGTAATTTATAGCTTGGAATGTGTTTGATGTTGTATATATTATTATTAAATTAAAAAAAATAAACATATATTACATATTTATTATTATCTTTGGTTAATGTTGTTAAATTTAAATTCTAAATATTATTTTATAAAATATCAAAACAATTAAATAATTTTTTGTGCAAATGAAATTATTAAATTAATATTGTAGGTGGAAAACATGAAACACTGTTAAAAAAATTGAAACATAAATTACATAACTTTAAAAGAAGTATCGATCATTTTTATAAAAAGTATGGACACTTTCAATATAATAGGTAAAAATATGATGTAATAGGTAGCGCTTATATAATGTAATAGGTATTGTTTATATAATGTAATAGGTAGTGGTTATATTGTAAAGTATCTATCCTTTTTATAAAAGTATCTATACTTTTTTCACTGTGGAAAATATTAATTTAAGGTTATCTTTTGAGTGAGTTTTAAGATATTAATTTAGTAATTATAGGCGTCTAATGATTTATTTTTTACGTTACGATATATATTATTAAATTAAAAATTCTAAATAATATTTTATAAAATATCAAAACAATAAAATAATTTTTTGTGCAAATGAAATTATTAAATTAATATTGTAGGTGGAAAACATGAAACACTATTAAAAAAAATTGAAACATAAATTACATAACTTTAAAAGAAGTATCGATCATTTTTATAAAAGTATGGACACTTTCAATATAATAGGTAAAATATGATGTAATAGGTAGCGCTTATATAATGTAATAGGTAGCGTTTATATAATGTAATAGGTAGTGGTTATATTGTAAAGTATCTATCCTTTTTATAAAAATGTCCATACTTTTTTCACTGTGGAAAACATTAATTTAAGGTTATCTTTTGAGTGAGTTTTAAGATATTAATTTAGTAATTATAGGCGTCTAATGATTTATTTTTTACGTTACGATATATATTATTATTAAATTAAAAATTCTAAATATTATTTTATAAAATATCAAAACAATTAAATAATTTTTTGTGAAATGAAATTATTAAATTAATATTGTAGGTGGAAAACATGAAACACTATTAAAAAAAATTAAAACATAAATTACATAACTTTAAAAGAAATATCGATCTTTTTTATAAAAAGTATGAACACTTTCAATATAATATAATGTAATAGGTAAATTTGTAATGCTATCGGTATAAATATACCGGTTTACTTATAAAATAGGTAAATATAAGCGCTACCTATTACATTATATAAGCGCTACCTAGTATGTTATTGTACTTTATAATATTTCCGGTTAAATAATATAACATAACCGGTCTAAATTTTAACCGATCACTTATTTAACCGGTCACACCGTATATTAACCGTTTTTTAGGCGCCGAACCGCAGAACTACCGAGGGAGTCCACTATCAATGCAACTTCTGCACTTCTTTTCTATCCATCTTTCTATGCCGTTCTCCCTGTTACCGACTGAATGCCTTTCGCCAGATTGCCGACTGACTTGTCCCAGCAAAACAGCTAGGATAGTGATCACTGCTACCACTACAATCAGTATTTCGGTCTATCGCTGCAAATATCGGGTTGGTTCCATCACCCTAGGTGGTGCCTCGAACACTGGTGCTGACTGGTCATTCTAAAACCGAACTATCTGCTCATAAGCGAAACAAAAGAGAAAAAAAATGCAGCAAGAGAATCCCAGCAGCTTATATTATGTGATTTTGACATCACACAAATAGTTAAAAGAGAAGGCTTGCAGACATCTGAATAGACCACAAACAAGGGTATATAGTAGAAACGAGGATGAGATCCAAGTATAAGTTTTAAATCGTATTGAAATTCATCCATATGTTTATAAATTATAAACTTTTTCAAATATAAGTTACTTATATTTAAACAAAACTTAACTGGTTTCACATTGATTTTAACATTATACAATAAAGGTGAACCTATTATTTATATCCTAAAAAGAAATTCAACATTGTCATGTTTTGCTGGTTAAAATGGAATTTGCATGTTTTACATCATGAAGATGTTTAGTATAATTTGACGAATTCTAGAAAGGATAAAGCTGGATTCAGTTCAAGTGGAAGTCTTTATGCATAAAGTAATGGCAGGCTGCAATTTCCTAATCGATTCGGCAGAGATCATCAAGAAACATCCACAAACCAACAGAGCAAAACTGTTAAAGCCAAAGGAAATTCATTATTATAGATCTAATAGCAGTAAGCCATTTTTATTCAAACATGTTCCAGATTTAATGCCGAAACACCCACCAACACACAAACAATCCATGAAAGTTTGAAAAACCAAACATATAGCTATAATTCAAACAAGCTTAGACATCATTTATAGCCAAAAAGAGGTCACCTACAAACACAGACCACCCTTACTTAGAAACCACCGCGGAGGCGAAGGACAAGATGCAGAGTAGACTCTTTCTGTATGTTGTAATCTGCAAGGGTTCCCCCATCCTCCAGCTGCTTCCCAGAAAAAATCAACCTCTGCTGGTCTGGTGGGATTCCTTCCTTGTCTTGAATCTTTGCCTTAACATTGTCAATGGTGTCTGAACTTTCAACCTCCAATGTTATTGTCTTCCCAGTTAAGGTCTTCACAAAGATCTGCATCCCACCACGCAAGCGCAACACCAAGTGAAGTGTTGACTCCTTTTGGATATTATAGTCTGCCAATGTCCTTCCATCTTCAAGTTGCTTGCCGGCAAAGATGAGTCTTTGCTGGTCTGGGGGAATACCCTCCTTGTCTTGGATCTTTGCCTTCACATTGTCAATTGTGTCTGAACTTTCAACTTCCAAAGTGATGGTCTTTCCAGTAAGAGTCTTCACAAAGATCTGCATACCTCCACGAAGGCGGAGAACCAAATGGAGAGTAGACTCCTTTTGGATATTATAATCGGCAAGAGTTCTTCCATCTTCAAGCTGTTTTCCTGCAAAAATCAATCTTTGTTGGTCTGGTGGAATTCCTTCTTTGTCCTGAATTTTGGCTTTCACATTATCAATGGTATCTGAACTCTCAACCTCCAAGGTAATTGTCTTTCCAGTAAGAGTCTTGACAAAGATTTGCATGCCACCACGAAGACGAAGCACTAGGTGGAGGGTGGACTCCTTCTGGATGTTATAGTCAGCCAGTGTCCGACCATCTTCAAGCTGCTTTCCAGCAAAGATAAACCTCTGTTGATCTTGAGGGATTCCTTCTTTATCTTGGATCTTAGCCTTGACATTATCAATAGTGTCGGAGCTTTCAACCTCCAAGGTAATCGTCTTTCCAGTGAGAGGCTTGACAAAGATTTGCATACCACCTCGAAGTCGAAGCACCAGGTGGAGTGTGGACTCTTTCTGGATGTTGTAGTCGGCCATTGTTCGACCATCTTCGAGTTGCTTGCCAGCAAAGATAAGCCTCTGCTGGTCTGGGGGTATTCCTTCCTTGTCTTGGATCTTTGCCTTCACATTGTCAATGGTGTCCGAACTCTCCACCTCAAGGGTGATGGTCTTGCCAGTGAGGGTTTTAACAAAGATTTGCATCTATTAATCAAAGGATCAAAACAAATTAGTACCTCAACAGTCCAGAAAATTAGCTAAAAACGAACATTTGCAAACCATAAATTAGAACCTAAGACCCTGAATCATATATCATCCAGACATCCATTATATTAGTGAATTTAGAATTTAGAATTAAGAAAAGAAAATCTGCAAGACAATCAGAAATCCCCTATTTAAATAAAAAAAAACCTAACCAGCATAAATGAAATCAATTAAAATTTCCAATAGCCCATCTCCACAAATTTGAAAATTTTACATGTTTACAATTGAATCTAGACAAACAAAGTTGATTCATCAAGAGATCTATCAATAATTTTAACTATCCTCGTTTCAGGCAACATATTCAAGACGATATGACTAACTATCAAGATTTGCTTTATCAAAATATACAAAATCGAATCAGTAATATAAAAGAATTAAGACTTTAAATTCATTAAGAGATCCACCAATAGTTCCACCATATCCTCATTCCAGGTACATATTCAAGATAATACGACTAACAAACAAGATTCGATTAATTAAAAACGATAAATCCATATTTCATAGAAGCCATTAAATTATCGAAAGATAGAACAAAAAATAAAACAACTAATATTGAAAATTCATTAAGAGAATCGCCAATAATTTAACTATCCTCTTTTCAGGTATATAATATTGAAGATGATACGATGAACAAACAAGATTCGCTTAATTAAAAGATAAAAATAAAATCAATAATAAACATTTGTATTTTTTCCCAATTAATTTGAACTATATATAGCATTGTTATGGTGTGTGTTTATATGTATCTATTCATCAATTAGTTAAATATTAATTTAATTAGAAAAATGAAAGATAATTAATATTATAATAATACTATGTTTATTTTTTTGATACAGATACTATGTTTATTCTTATATTAATTTAATTAGAAAAATGAAAGATAATTAATATTATAATAATAACATGTTTATTTTTATATTAATTTAATTAGAAAAAGGAAAGATAATTAATATTATAATAATAGTATGCTTTTTATACTAATTTAATTTAAAAATAAATACTTAAATTATATATATATTTTTATTTAAGTATTTATTCTTTATTAAAATAAATATTTAATATTTCATTTTATTATTTTCTTAAAGTTAATATATTACGAACATTTGAAAAAAAATAATCAATAAATGTATGTCATGTGATGTATTTTAAAATGATCAATAATTTATATTTAAAATAAAAATAATTTTAATTAAATAAAATTATGTGCGAATTAAGCGATTAGTCTCGAATTCGAGCACTATATATATCATGAATATGTACATTTATTATCAAATTAATTGAAAGTATTTAAACAAATAGTATCTTATATTCACCCATATTAATAATAAAAAAAACATTTTTATTTTCCCCCCTTAAAATCGTCTTCTCTGTTCCGTCAAAAGGTGATGTTTGTTTTTACAGAGATAAAAGATCTGCAATCTGCAGACCACATCTGCAGGTATCTGCAGCAGAAGAGATGGATCAAAAGTCTACAGTCTGCAAGAAGGAGACTGTTTGTTTTTTAACGTCTGCATACTGCTAAAATAAACTGATTTTTTTTAAACTATACTCAAATAACCATTTTTTATATTAATTTTTAAAAAGTATAAAATGTCATTAAATTTAATGAATTATTAAAAAATAGTCACTATAATATTGTAATAAATTATAAAAGTTTGATAATATAATAATTATTTTATAGTATTTAGATAAATTTATTAATAATTTTATAATCTTTTAATAAATTTAATAAGTATTTTATAATTTTTTAAACTTTATTGATGAAAATGATCATTTGTATATAACTCAACGATATCTAATATACTTTATTTGAAAAAATATATTAAATAAATATTATACGAATTTTATTATTATAAATTATTACTTCTACGAACTATTAGATTTTGGTTTTAATATTATATATCATTTTAAAAATTATTATTAAATCAATCGATAATGAAATCAATTTGATTTTAATTCAATCTGTTTGTTTCGGTTTAAGTAATTGTTAAAAAAATTATATTTTAATTCTCAATTATTATCGATTCACAAATATATCAATACTCGATTTTATAATATCATTTAAATCATCTTAATTTATTGGAGTGGTACAATCCAATTCTAGTAACATTAAAAAATATATATAATATATAGTCCATATAATATACATCAATTAGTATTTTTCTATTTAGAAAAAATATATTATTTGTTTTTTATTTAATTATTCTGTATAAAGGGACTTTCGTACTTTACCAGAATTAAATAATAAGAATCATATTTTTCAATAGTGTGATTTTTTTTATTAAAACATTTATTTTGTCTTTTAATGCTAATAATTGTATGTCCCCGTGATTTTCTAAGTTTTTATATAAAAAAAAGTTTACTAAATTTAATTGTATAATATTTTTTTACTAAGTTTAATATATTTTTTTAAATAAAGTATATTAGATATCGTTAAGTTATATACAAATAATCATTTTCGTCAATAAAGTTTTAAAAATTATAAAATACTTATTAAATTTATTAAAAGATTATAAAATTATTAATAAATCTATCTAAATACTATAAAATAATTATTATATTATCGAATTTTTATAATTTATTACAACATTATAGTGACTATTTTGTAATAATTCATTAAATTTAATGACATTTTATAATTTTTAAAAAAATAATAGCAAAAATGGTTCTTTGAAGATGTTAGAAGAGCTTTGAAAATGTTAGAAGAACTTTGAAGACATAAGTCCACGTCTGCGCCAAGAAGAGGACGCGCAGACGTTAGAAGAGTTTCTGTCTTCTAAAAAACAAACGTTCTGCGAAGTTCAATGTCTGCGCGGCACAATCATAAGAGCTTTAAAGACCTTAAACAGTGAAAACAAATACCACCTAAGTTATAATAGTTCAGAAGCTCTATCTGATACCTTTAACGGGAATTTTTTTAAAGGTTATGTATAATTTATATAGTCAATACATACAAAATGAAACATGATCTCATTAAAAAAATTCCTACACCTAAATAGAGGGAAAATGTGTATTTTTCGACGTGGATATAAATCTTACTTTAAATACAAATTGCACAAAACCAAAGCTGTGCAGCTCTATACACACAACACATGCAAATCAAAAGCAAACTAAACTCCAGCCTATCACCAACCATTAGCGCCAGTGTCACAATGAAAAGCAATATGGAAATCATACATTTAACGAGGATTTAAGCTATTATATATTTTAGGCTCTTATGATCGTAGATAGATGGTATCTTTCACCGTTTAAGTAATGCCGTTAGATTTTCATAGCGAATAAAGTTGTTTCCAGGTCGAGATCATAATCATACCGTGAAAGAATTATCTGTTGAAAGGCTTCTTTTGTTTTAAATTATTATTTTTTGTTGAATTATGCAAGGGGTAATTATAATATTTAATCATTGTACTTTAAGGTATTTATAAGATTAGTCCTTATGTTTCAACTATAAATACCCTAACTCATTTAACTTCAAAACCATCCCAAAGCATTCAACTTTCTTCCAATACTAGAGAGAATTTAGAGAGTTTCTTAAGAGTTGTTTTCTCCTTTTTATCAAGAGATAATTATCATTGTTTTCTCATTGTTAGATCGAGAGAGGTTGTAATTCCTATTTTCTCATAGTGAATTTCTTCTACCGTTGCCCGTGGTTTTTACCCTATATTATTTAGGGGTTTTCTACGTAAATTTTGTATCCTCTTTATCTCTATTTTTTATTTTCTCAAATTATTAGTTGCGATTTTGCTCTATCCGATAGTAGTCTTTCGCAACAATTGGTATCAGAGTCAGATTTGAGTTTCAGCTAGTGGTATCTCATTTTTTGAAATGGATTTAACTCTGCATAACTTCCTTTTATTCAGTTTTGCAAAATCGTCATTCACGTGAAGAAACAAAACACGCGATTTTTGTGCCTTTATAAGGCGAAGAAGACGACGACGATATGTGATTTTTTGTTTTATATTTTAATTTTCAACTCAGACTTATGTTAATGGTTAATGTGAGTTAATAGATGAGGGATTAAAATTGAAAATATCAATAATATAAGGGATTAAAATCACATTTTTTTACTGGTAACCAACATTGAACGAACCAAAAATATAAGGGACCATTGATATAGTTTACCCTTATTCAAACTTTCCCGGAGAAACAAACATTGGATGAAATTACGAATCTCCCTATTTCTCTCCTATTAAACGTCTCATCCGGTCCTGAGAAAGCCAATATCAACAAGTCAATCTTCTCTTCCACTTTCGATAACCAAAATCAAAATCACCAAAATAATCCAAAACATAGAACATCGAAGAACTGAGAAATGGCGGTCGGAAGAGAAGATGCGGAGATTATAAACCCCAGAACGGACAAAAGGGAGTACCGAAGGATCGTCCTTAGTAATTCCCTTCAAGTTCTCCTCATCAGCGATCCCGAAACCGATAAGGCAAATTAATCTCCCAATTCCTTCTTCGTTGCTTTTTGTTAGCATTCCATCACAATTATCAATTTCTTTGTTTTTGTTTTATGTGACAGTGTGCCGCTATTATGAATGTGGGTGTCGGTTCCTTTTGCGACCCCGCCGGCCTTGCCCATTTTCTTGGTATATTTATCCATTTAATTTATCTTCCTTTTGTATCTGTGAACTGCCTGGACATTTTTCCTATACTTTGAATTCTGACAACGTGCGAGTTAAGTAATTACTCTAAAGGATTTGTATAATCTTAAAAGTGATGTGATGTAACAACCCGAATATTTACAAAATAATATTAATTGAAATTAGAGGTAAATTGTGAAAATGAGTGAAATTAAGTGACTAAATTGAAATTTATGGAAACTTGTATGCCATTTTCGAAGTAAAGGAAATTCAGGGACCAAGCCTTGAATTTCCCCTAAAATTGTCGGTAGGCTTGATGATTTAAGCGTGATTTCTGATTTACAATCAGAAATCACAAATGATATTCCTTCAATTTTCTTCCTCT